AATATCCCTGACTTGGGTCACTGCTGGCCTCATCAGCTCGACGAAGTGGCTCTTCCTTCGGAAATTATTTGGTTATTATTATCGTTTTTTTTTTTTGCTAGGCGGATTTCATTTGATTGGAATTCGACATTTCCAATGAATTCTCAAAAGATTTTGCCAAATTTTGGACGGTATTTTCTAAGCAAACCAGAAGCACGATTGCAAATTTTGAAGAAGATTCGAAAGAAACGATTAGCAGATTGATTCTGCTAACGATAAGTAGCGTTTTAGTGAAAACTGTCGCTATTATTTTTTTCAATTGATGTCACTTTTAGCGAAAAATTTTCGTTACGTTTTCGTTAGTGGATGCCTTTTAGCGGACCAAAGATATTTCTTTAGGGAATCAGCGAGTAGCGGAGATACTTTTTCAGCCGTATGCCCATCACTGCTGCTGAAACATTGTTAAACGTATAAGTAACGTACTATGAATTCTGATATGCTTGATTTTTTATAACCGATTTGTGAATATGAAATAATATCGATTAAAGATAGCAGGCATAAAGATGTGTGTGAAACGAGTTATTTGCTTGTATGTTTTATATTGAATGGCTTATATACATACGTATTTTATTTCTATGTATATGTTTATCTATGTATTGAATGTTGTATGCACATTCAATATTGGTGTGGAATAATGCTATATTCGAGCAGTTGGTATTGCTTGTATTCACTCGATTGGTTGCGTTCGATTCCAGAAGCCTTTACTTGAATGTTGAAATTTCATGATTATTGTCTTCAACATATTGTACGCTTAGTTGGGATCGGATATTTTTTTGTACCCACTGAAGGGAACACCTTTTGCAGTGTGGAACATTTTAAGGCATTTATTATTAATTGAAAAAGTTGTTATCACATTTAGAGGCGTGGCGTGTTGTGTGTATATAAAACTTAGATAATTCTCATCGAGTGAATGCGGTTGGTAAAGATAGGTACAAGTAGTTGGTTGTTTTTGAAGTTTGCATTCAACAACAAATATATTGATTTTATGCTGAATAATGTTCGTTGCGCAGTGAAATAAGTGAACGAGTCGTTGTTTTAGGTGCTTCGAGACAATCCAAATTTGATCTATCATCCGCAACGCAGAAAGTTTCTGAAATCGCTCATTAAAGCTGCTGAATTGTCGGCAATGGAAATGGACGTAACGACGAATAACAACCACGCATCGTCAGCAGTTAGCATCATGTCATCGCAGTCGTCTTCTCCGTCAGCAGCATTTCAGACGACGATCGTCCGACCGCGAATCAGTGCGTTTTTGCGTTTGTTTTGCTCTTTCAACAATTCCTCAGCTAACGTAATCCCCAACAAATTATGAGTGCTAAGAGTTGAAACTGTAAGTTGAAATTGCAGTTACATTTTATATTTTTAGATTTTTATATCATCAATATTTTCAGATGGCTGTTCGAGTCAGTCTTATCAACAAGGTGTTACCCAAGCGCAAGGTTTATTCTATTTCTTTGCATTTCAATATTATCACTTTGTTAATCTCATTGATTCTTGATTAGAGTTATTCACCATGAATAAAATTCTCTTTTAAGTTGTGGCTGCCCCTTCTCCTGGCACGGTTCTTGTGGCACAAGCTTTGGGAGTTCGGACACCTGTGCATGTACAGACTCCTCAGCAGGTGAAATATTCGATTGTTAATCGATGAAGTTCAATTTTATCTAACTAATTCATAAAGTTCAAGTATTTTTGTTTGAAGTGTTCGTCAAGTTAAACGAAATTAGTAGTACGAATTCATCGTGTTTAGTCATGATTTTTACTTGTTTCGTGAACGTATTTTTCGGAGCCCTGACATAGCATATTGATTAGAGACTCGTACAAACATTGAAACGGTTTTTTTTGTTGCTGAATAAAATGAAATTGATTATAATTACTGAACGCAATAGGCTATTGCAAGAACGTTGATGAGACTTTGAAATACTGAAGTGCCGAGGAATAATCCAGTAAATTTGCATCAAAAGTGGTTGTATGATGAGGATGTTTTGAAAGTTCGGAATGGAAATATTGTTATGCTTATCGTGCACAATATAAAGTTGGACCAGAATCAGGTGTTGATTGTTTGCAGTTGCAGGGCACACCCATATCGTTTACCTTCCAAACAGCACAGCCCCAGTCGGCGGTACTGCAAAAGAATGTTTTATATTCATCGTCGATGAATTCAACCCCAACACATAGTAATTTCAACAGTAATGCACAGCATGCAACACCTGCAAATATGCATCAGATGTTGGATCTTTATTATACTTCGCTGTGTCAACCGGCATTCCCTGAGCCTGGTTTGTTTTTATTTTGTTGTTTGATTCCTTCTGCTTTTATCGTTTTTCTTCGTCTTATTTGTTGATCATCTAATCTCTCTCTTTCCTATACGATTTTGAAGTTTTTGGTCGTTTTCATCATCGTCGTTATTATCTCAGATAGTTCAAAAGTGCTGTAACTAATGAACAGCTCTTATCTTGACATGTAATTTAAGCAGTGAAATGGTTTTATTTTAGTAGTTGAACGTTTTGAAGAAAACGTCTGTGAAATGTGTATTTGAGTGTGATATATCTGCAAGCTTACTAACGACATCCAACAATATCTCATTTATATTTGTTAGTCACGGCCAATAATTAAAGTGCATTAAGTGAGGTGATTGCAGGTGAAACAAGTACGATGGCACCACCGCAGTACTATCTGGATCAGTATCAGCAGTTGCATTATCAAGCGATTGCAGCTGCAAACCAACAGAATTATGCTCATCAAGCACAAATGACTACTTCACACAGTGCATATTAAACTACCTATCAGCAATAATTTCTGTTCATTAGTTCATTTGGAATATAAGCAGTCGACAGAGTGTTAAGTGGCTGTTGTGCGTATTATAAAGGCAAAATTTTTGTTGGGGATGACGATTAAACGGTATCAGAAAACGAATAGGGTATTGAACGCAGAAATGAAATTAAGCAAATGATGCAGTAGAATATTTGATTGTTATTATTTGATGGTAATGCTCATTTTATTGTTATGTGGATTGCTTTTATATTCATTCATTCGCTTTTCGTATCGCATTTGACGTCAATTCTTGTTTTGAGTTTAATTCCGATTCTGTTGCATATTAATGGGAGATCATAGTTAAAATGTTAAATTGAGTTAAATTATTTGTTAGATATTTGTCGGATTTGTGTGTTGTTTCGATTTGCTGTAATCCTTGTTAGTGATATTGGGGCAGAGGTGAGACAGTTTTACATATTCATTCATGATTGTGTAAAGTTTAGAGTTTGGCATTTCCTGTGTTGTTCACATCAAGTAGTTTTGAGTTTCAATCGCACTTTCAATCTTGCATTGATGAGCGGTTATGGTCAGTGTTATTTCTTTGAATGCTGGTGTCATTGGTTCAAATTTGATTCAGTAAGATGGTTGGAAAAGTATTTCTTCAAATCTCTAACATTTCAAATCATTCTCCTTCAGTTCTTTGATTCGCTTTAGAAAATAACTTCTATCAATCAATCATTTTGTCGGTTTGTTATTTTATATTATTGCATCCAGTGAATGTTACTGTATAGTTCTCGTTACTGCTATTAATATGATTAGTCGTCTCTATTGTTATGATCGCTTTTGTTATACTTTTGCTGTTGCTGTCATTTTGTGTAAAGTTGAAAATCGCTGAGCGAAATATCACAAATATTTCTTATCGCAAACATTTCGTATGAGCATCTAGTTGTCTATTCTTATTTGTTTTTGAAGTGTAAAATGTTCAATCAACGAAACAATTGTCAACGATTGTTGATAATTGTTTGAGAGTTTCGTTAAAGTTGCACTGATGTATGAGGAGCACTTATCGAAAGTATTGTTGTCGTCGAATATTGCGTTGCGTTTCCATCAAGTTCAAAAGCAATCTTTCGAAACTCTTTGAATGAATCCACCTTTTGGCATCATCATTACTGAATCAGTATGATTGATATTAAAGTCTATTTTTTCATATTCAAAAAATTCTGATTTGAACGTGATACATTCAGTTCCTAATGAAATTATTTTCCCTCTTCCAAAAAAAAATTCAACTGCTGCTTTATCTTCTCAGTTTATGCTTTCCTATTTTCCGTTTTCTTACTGTATTTTATGTTTTTCTACTGTATTCAACATCTTGTTTTCTATTCATTCATTGTGAGTTCCTTATCGTCTACCTTGAAACGTAATTTGAACTGCTACTATAAATTGAATCTTCGAATTTGTATTCTAAAAGGCATAAAATTAGCCGATGAGACTATCCAGTTGCTTTGATGATATCGAGTAACACACAGGAAATATTTCCAGTTTTATTGGTATGTAAACAAAAACCTATTTCATTCACATTTCGTCGTGTATAACTACTCTTATCTGGCAAGCAGTACCGTTCAAGGAATACTCGATCTGTCATTGATAATCAATGCCGATACTGTGGTGATGGTACCTTCTTTATGACAGACAGGTCAACTCTCAACTTGGTGTTGTTTTCGCTGATGGTTTGATTGGGGATGAATCATTCGAATGCATAATGATCTCATTCATTGTTCCATATTATTGACTCTATTCATTCAAGTATTATTTTATTGATTTATTCGTTAAATTATAACTTGTTCATTTTTTTAATCACCGTAACACACGCGTTCATGATTTTTAATGTAATATCGCGTTTGTTTTTGTTATTGAAGCATTGAATGTGCAGAGCACGTTGATCTTTTAATTTGTCAAAGTGTCTTGTAATTATATCTTTTTATTCGCTATGCAATTATTGTGTTGTTTGTTTGTATTATTTAACTTTTATGTAATGTTTTGTTGCCTCTTTGAATGTTCTCGAATCCTTATGATGGTAATTGATTGACATTATTAAAATTATTGACACAATGAAGAGACCGATTATTTGCATAAATTGCCATATTATCTGAGCTTTTTGGTCTGTACACGGAATTGTTTCGGAATTTAAAGCCTCATTTGGACATTGCATGTGTCAAATTGATGAGAATGGCCCGGAAAGCCGAGAAACGGCCCAGTCTGAACGCAGCGAAACAATAACTATCTAGTTGTTTTTAAGCACATGAAGTCGTTTCCGGAAAGAATTAAAACACTCAGCGAGTATTTGTTGTTTTCCTTCAGCTTCAAAGCATCCGACAATGAAATGGTTCTCCAGAGTTTCGATTCTGTTGGTGTTTTATTGATATCCATACCAACTTAATTTGATGATGATATCCGGAATGTTTTACGAATAACTTTTGATGTTCGGATTCAAATAATTCTTAAAGGTCCTATGAGTGTTTATTTTTTAATGATTTATGGTTTTGTGCTCGAATGAAAACTGCTTATTGTCACTCAGTTATCGGAAGACTGCGTGCGTGTGTTGTTGTGAGGAATGCTGTGTGTCTACATAACAAAACTCTTATGCTGTTATGCTCACGATCAGACTGAATCAACAAAGTTATGGTGTCCTCGGATGTTTGAATAAGTCATGAACTAGAGTAACTCTGAAGAACGGGTTTTTGTTGTTGAAAGCTTATTCAAAAGATATGCATCTGTACATATATCCATAAATGCTACAGAATTTTCTGCTAATAAATGAAAGGTACCAACTCTGCGCATTCGCGTTCACTAGATCAATATTGCAACGTTTTGAACACTCTGATTGATATTTGCGCCATCAGGATCATCAAAATCACGGTCTATTGAAAGGTGCTGATAAATCATGTCGGATAATCAAGCACACGTTGTTGCGCAAAAATTCTCATTCGAACATCACACCATAATCTTATCCATTAGAATGTCCGTAAACGCCCAGGTTCATTATTGGTTCCTCATAATATTATCAGCAGAACCTGAACTTTATGGCGATTGACATTTTTAAGAGGCACTGATGGTGTAACATGACAAATACTCTAAGAATATAATCTCTCTCGAATGACCTTCACTTATTTCAGTGCACATTCCATTCATCATTGCATCTCGTACGT